CCCAACCCAACCATCTGTAACAAGAACCTTCTCCTCCAAGTAATATAGCCCTAAATGGAGTAAGGGTCTCCCTAATAGTGGATGTAGCCTTAGTCCTTCGGTTGAGGTGAACCATTCATATTTTTGTTTTTACTACAACTTTACCTCTTAACACATCCTCTATCATAAGCACACACGAAACCCCTTTGAGCCTCACACCATTCTGTTCTATAGTTGGGTAGATAGATTTCGAGCACTATCTGTTTGACACAGTCTGTAGGAAACGATTTTCATCATTTTCCTTTGAGCAAGTCTCACACAAATCCGTTAACCCAACAGAACCAACTAGGAAACCTCCCAACCCCAGAGGCAAACGTCGAGAAAGACCCTCCAAAAATGGACCCAGCCCCACTTAATGAGCTAGAAACGTATTGTCGGACCATAAGGCAGTTGATGAAGCATTAACCAAGACCTTATGACGTGGATACAAGCACATCATCTCCCTCAAGCCTTGCCTGCACCACCTCCACCACCATCTCAAAATGATTTTCCTTCTCAAGATCGCCAAATGCTGCTACCTAACGGAGTGACTGACCTCCATGACCATAGCCACTCGGGAGAAAACAATTGCCAAAGACATCCACAGGAACAGACAGATGACGAAGCCTAGAGTCGGGCCAGAGCCTTTCCCATAGAAGACCATCCTCTTATTCACCAACATGATGTCATAGACCAATTCTAGTAGCAAAGGTTCTGAGAAACCCAGCAGGAGCTAGGAAACGTGAAGGAGGTGGTGAAAGGGAAAACCCTGTCACCCTAGTCCAGCAAACCTAATTGTCATTTGCCAAGAAGTTCTACATTTTCCTCTACCTCAAACAGGGACCCAATGAGTCTCTCTGGAGCTACGTACAAAGATTTAACCAAGAGTCCTTGAAAATACAAAATGTAGATGACAAGTTCACCATGACAACTTTCATATATGGGCTTGGCATCTAATCCAAGGACATGCTATTTTTAATTGCCAAGAACTCCCAAACAACAATGGCAGAAATGCTTATTAAAGTCAAGAAGTATATAAATAGAGAGGAGGCTCTTTGCATGAAGGGAGGATCGTCAACATCGAGTGAGGGAAAGAAAAAAAAAAGAGAGTGTAGCCCAAGAAAGGAGAAAAAGACGAGATCGGCCCCCAAGGGGAGACCAATCCCAGAGGAAGGAAAGAAAACCCTCCCCAAAGAGAAGGGAGAACATCAAGGATCATCTCGACCCTCCGCCTCAGGAGCTTCAACCACGGTATGCACCAGCCCGACTCACCCCCCTAAATGCCACCATCTCTCAAGTCCTCCACGAGGTCTAAAATGAGAGATATGTCAAATGGCCGCCAAGGATAAAGTATGACCCCCAAAGGCGTGATCCCACCAAGTATTGCAATTTTGACAAGGACACTGGCCACAATACCAAGGACTGTATCCAACTGAAAAAGAAGATAGAATATCTAGTTCAATGGGGCCATTTGCGGCATTATATGGCAGGGGAGGAAAGAGATTGAAATGAGCGAGTCGAGCAACAAGGCCACCCCAGCAACAGCACCAAAAGGCTCTAGGAGAGATAGGGTCATCTCGGGTGGCTTTGCAAGAGGAGACGAGTCAAGCTTGGCGAGAAGAGCCTACACCAAGAGGGCTAGGTTAGACGACTTCCTTGATATCCAAACAATACAAAAGGCCCCACGCAAAGACATGGAGATAACCTTCTCAGATGCCAACCTGGAAAAGTATTAGCTCTCCCATGATAACCCTTTGGTCTTTAAACCCATCATCGCTAACAAAACTATACACCACATTCTCATAGATAATGGCAGTTCAACTGATATCATTTTCCTCTCCGCCTTCAAGAAGCTTGGGTTAGATAGGTTGAGGCTCGAACCCGTGAGGACCTATTTCTTGGGTTTCTAGAGTGAAAGAGTCTTACCTGTGGGATCTATCCAGCAGGTCCTCACATTGGGAGAGCATCCTTGCTAGATTACCACCACAATCCATTTCCTGGTGGTAGATGCACATCCCGCCTACAACATCTTGCTCGGTAAGCCTTCCCTCAACTCCATCAGAGCTATGCCTTCGGTATATCACTTGATTATGAAGTTTTCAATAGAAAATGGAGTCGCAGTGGTGAGAGGCGACCAACGCATTGCCAGGGAATGCTATGTAGCGTCCATGAGATAGAAGAAGGTGGAATCAGTTCAATTAGAAGACCTTGATATGAGGGACCTAATAAAGACCCAACCTACATCATTAGAGCAGCTAGAGCCAGTGCAGGTTGACAAAGACCCCAGGCATGTGGTCTTTTTAGGCTCAACACTGCTCTAGGACATCAAAGAGAGACTTATTTCTCTGCTTGAAGGAGAACACTGATGCTTTTGCTTGGAAGTAGGAAGACATAGGGTAATAGTGCATCACCTCAGTGTGGATCCTAACCACAAGCCCGTTAAGCAGAAAAAGAAGGAGCTTTGCTCCAGAGAGATAGAAAATGATCAACGAAGAAGTGACTAAACTATTACGAGCTAAGGCCATTAGGGAGGTCGACTACTCGACCTGGCTAGCCAACGTGGCGTTGGTTAAAAAGGTCAACAAAAAGTAGTGTTTGTGCATTGACTTCATGGACCTAAGTCACACGTGCCCCAAGGATAGTTTCCCTCAACCTAGGATCGACCTTATAGTGGATGCCACTGCTGGTCTAAACATGACCTTGTCGATGGATGCACAAAAAAATCGTTATCTATAGTGACTCTCAGCTGGTAGTCAAGCAAGTGGAGGAAAAGTATGCGGCTCGAAAGAACAAGATGGATCTATACATGAGGAATGTGTGAAACCTGTTAAGAAGATTTGTGATCACCGAGCTCACTTAGATACCTCGAGAAGCAAATTGTCAAGCCAATGCACTAGTCAAGCTGGGTATTGTGGCCCAATAGGATTTTTCAGGAACGACGCCTGTGGAGGTCCTGCTCGACCCAAGCTTCTAACTCGACAAAGATTAGGTCATGCCAGTAGATGAGAACACATCGTGGATGGATTCTATCACTTCCTTTCTACAGGACATACACCTCCCACACGACAAAAAGGAGGCAGCTAAGATAAAGATCAAAGCAGAAAAATTCATCATGGTGCAAAGTAAACTCTATAAATGAGGCTTTTCTTTTTCCCTATTGAAATGTGTTACTAAGCTCGAGCCAGACTATATCCTAATGAAGATTCACGAGGGCATGTGTAGGAACCACATCGGAGTGTGAACTCTTGCTAGTAAAGCGCTTCGATAAGGATACTTCTGGCCCATGATGGCGAGAAATGCCAAAGAAATGGTAAAGAAGTGTTAGGCATATCAGATCCATGGGAACCTGTCGCACTGCCCTCCCGAGCAACTTAATCGGTGGTTATCCCTTAACTTTTATAGCAATGGGGGCTGGAAATTTTAGGGCCCTTCTTAGTTGGCATTAGACAGTGTAAGTTCGCAATAGTTGTTGTGGACTATTTTACCAAATGGGAAGAAGCCAAGGCATTAGTGAAGATAGCCGAGTAGAAAGTGAAGAATTTCGTTTGGAAATCAATAATTTGTCGTTTTGGCATCCCAAGAGCCGTGGTTTCAGATAATGGAAAGAAGTTCGATATTTGGGATTCACGGGTTTTTATGCAAAGTCAAAAATTAAGAATTATTTCTCAGCACCTGCGCACCAGCAGTCAAATGGGCAAAACCATCAAGTTGGCACTGAAAATAAGACTAGAAGCTTCTAAGGCCCAATGGGTTGACCACGTCCCAACGGTGTTGTGGGCTTATCGGACCACCGTACGAATGACAACCAATGAGACTCCCTTTAGTCTTATATATGGGACAGAGGCCATAGCCCTGGTAGAGGTTGGACTCCCCTCAGCTAGGGCTAAGCTCTTCGACCCCGAGCAGAATGACAGGTCTTTGCTCATCAACCTAGACCTGTTGGAAAAAAAAAAGAGATGAAGAGCTATAACGAATATTCTCCTACCAAAGGAACACCGCGCGATACTACAATCAGAGGGTCAAGAAAAGGAGTTTCAAGCCAGGCAACTTGGTTCTTAAGAAACTGATCCCTACAAGGAAATACCCACTCATGAAAAACTCGAGTACAACTGGGAAGGCCCATACATTGTGAAAAGAGGGGTCAAACTTGAAAACTATGAACTACAAACAGAAGAAGAGAATGACCTACAACACTCCTAGAATGCAAATCATTTGAAGTAGTATTACCAATAGGATCATGAACAACAAAACAATGTGAAAGTAGGAAAGCAATTGTAAATGCCTAGTTCTCAATCAATGAAATTTGAATTTCTAGCCTACAAACTTGCACAATGGATGATTCAAAGGGATTTTCAACTCCCCAAAGGCGCGAGCTCCTTAGTCACACAACCTCAACTATGCTTCTCAGTCAAAGAGCTCGTCAGCTCAGCTTTTTAGCCCTCAAAGAGTTTTTCAACTCCCCAAGGTTGCAAGCTCCTCAGCCATGCGACCTCGACAATGCTTCTCAGTCTAAGAGCTTGTCAGCTCAGCTTTTCAGCCCTTAAGGATTTTTTTAACTCCCCAAAGTCGCGAACTCCTTAGTCGCGCGACCTCAACTAGGCTTCTTAGCCTAAGAGCTTGTCAGTTCAACTATTTAGCCCTTAATGAGTTTTTCAACTCCCCAAGGCATCAAGCTCCTCAGCAGCACGACCTCGATTAGGCTTCTCAGCCTAAGAGCTCATCAGCTCAGCTTTTTAGCCTTCAAGAAAATTTTCAGCTCCCCAAAGCCACGAGCTCCTCAATTGCATGACCACGACTAGGCTTCTCAGCCTAATAGATTGTCAGCTCAACCTTTCAGGTCATGCTCGCATGATAGTCACCATATTAGAGACCTCGAAGAAAAAAGGCACACCACAATAATCATGATAGTAGCAGATAAGAAGCAAAAAAAAACTGCATCATATTCAACAGTATTTATAATTACAAGAAACTTAAAATGAAGTTCAAGGTTTTTCACTATTTTTCTTCAACTCTAGGACCTCCTCCCCCAGTCGCACATTCTCTGCCTGCAACTGAGCATCCTCAGCCTTCAGTTCATCCCTATCCTTTACGACATCAAAAAGCTGCCTCTTTAGCATCGTCTTCCCAAAGGCCATCTCCAGCTCGCCAGTTGTAAATCTTATCTCACTAAAAGAAGAGTCCGACAGCTTTGGCGAAGACGAATGTTGGACCTTCTTCTTCTTTCTTCTCGAAAAAGTAGTCGTGTCCTCTCCTAGGCCCATCGAAGAAGAGCTCACGTCGATGGCAAGGGAAGGGGAATCGGGACAACAACAGGGATGCTAATCCGATTGGGACCAATACCGAACTGGAAAAGATTCTGAGCTATAACCAAAGTAGAGAAGACAACCGCCTCAGGACGACAAAGTCAGTTGACCTTGATGATCTCTTTAGGGGTCAGCCCGAGACCATCTGCATTAGCATAAAAATCATTAGTCTCAAAATGAAAAATAATGGATAAGGGAGTCTTCCGGTCTTTAAAGAGCAAAATGTTTATTTACCTCTGTCTAGAATGCGACCCTAGGAGGGAGGAACTCGAGAACGCTTTGATCGTGCTTTGGTAGACTCCCAAGAATCTCCAGAAATAAAGAAAAAATGTTGCAGCCATCCCTTAGAGGAGCCAAAAGCATTGAGAACCAACATAGGAACATGAAACCTCCAATAAATCGATAATAGTAGGGAGGGAAGTCAAAATCAAAGTCAAAGAAGTAAAGAAACTCAGAGATCGTGGGGAAACGATCATGGTCATGCATGCGCCAGAAAAATGAAGAAGCTCACAAGGGTGCCCCTTCCCCTCTGGTGAAAGACGTGAAGGGCAGAGCCAACAAAAGGCAAGAATTTGTCTTATGGATGGATGGATGGGCAATGAAGTCCCATCTCAAATGCACCTTCCAAAACACAAACCTCCCTTCAGATAAGGAGGTTGCAAGGTTCATCAGGGGTAGGAATCCGAATGGCCAAACAAGCTGGGAAGAGGTATCACCTCCTAATTTCCTCCGCTTCAGGTGCAGCGATTACAATAGGAAATAAAAACATGACATACTATGGGTTGTCAATCGTAATTCGAGTGCGTTGCTTGAACAAGGAAGTAGAATAGGAAGCCATAAATTCATAAGATGAGATGAGCAACACCCAGGGAAAACATCAAAGAGGAATAGGAATACAAAGAGTAGAAGATTTTTGAACAAAGAGGGTGGGCTGCTTGTGGACGCAAAAGGGCAACCATTACATTTCTTCAATAAAAAGGATTTTTGTTAGGAGTTAATAAAGGTTGCCCAAGACGAAGTTAGGTGGAGTTAGGTGTGCACAAATAGCAACACATTTAATATCCTTTCTCCTAAATCCGTACACCTCAACCCGAGGTCGTACGCCCCGAGCACAGGGCTTGTTAGGGATGAAGGGCTTGGTCCCCCTTTCAGATACCTTATGGTGCATCTCGAGACAATTCAACTTGAGGCCATACAGATCGAGCACATGAATGCAAACAATGAAGTGACAGCTCAAAACCTATGGTATAATTCGGCTCAAGATAGTAACACCTCGGGATATTGCGCCTTGGAATAGCATCAAGCCGCTAAATCAATTAGCATACCACAAAATGATGAAACAAAGTCTAGAAGCTCAAAAACCTAAAGAGGTTTTTTAAAGACCATACTCCAACAAGGTCAAGACCTTCTTGGAGCAGGGGACAAAGAGGGTACAAGACATATAAAACATCACCACCAACATCCAAAGAAAGCTGAAGTGGTTTTCATTCCAACAACAGAGGAAGGTCACACTTTACATTTCAAAAACTTACATGCAGCAAGTGCTAAAAAAAACACAAAAAAAACAAAACAACAAAAAAGGATAAAAACAGAAAGTCTTAGGGCCTAGTGGATGGCGAAGCAGCATCACCTCCTCTAGAGAAGCCCTAGGAGGAGAATGGAATCAAGGCTGAGGCCAGGGAATTTCGCGAGGGCTTGCTCTTCAAAGTTGAATTACCCGTCCATGAAAGCTTTGGTGACCTCCATTTTCGCCTTCTTGATCTCCTTTTTCTATTTCTCGACCAACCACCACTTCGAGCTTAGGGAATCCTCCAGATCGACGATAGTTGCGCCAGATTCAGCTACATGAGCTGTCAACTCCATCTTCTCAGCCTGGGAATTGACCAGATCGTCCAACTGATCACTCGGCTACTTTCGCAGAATGATCAGCTATCCCAATTAATCACTCAACTACTATCGCAAGGAGATCTCTAAAACAGTAGCGGCGATTAGCTGTCTAAAGACCTGGTCTTTCTACTTGAGAGCCACCTCCAGCTCAGCCTCCAGTGTAGAAGCTTGGTGTGCCTTGCCTTCCTCTTGGTGGCTTTCGCCTTCAGATGGTGGATCTCTCCGTCAAATGTACAAACATACGTCGTAGCCTAAAACCAAGTAAACTGATAAGTGATTGCATAACTAAGGCAGGAGAAGGCAAAGACAATAAGTCCCACCTCAATAAGTGCATGCAAGGTATCTCAGGCTCCCTAAAGGGTTGGTTAATAGAGCGATAGAGGTCGATCTAAAGGATCAGCTCCATGACGGCTTGATTGCCTCGAGCCACATCATCTAAAAGGCTTATCCCAAGATTGCTGATCGTAACCAGCTCAGGATGTCTCGAAATGGACCCTCCCATATGCCTGGGGCAAAGACCCATATCTCCCACCTCAGGATTAATGGACACTGCCCCAGCTGTGGTTTTCCTAGCGTTGAGTGGAATCGGGGGTGGGGCAGGGGAGCTCGACAAAGGGCTATCCTTGAAAATCCTTGCCCTCTTTGTAGGAGGCCTCAGAGCTTGTGTCAGCTTCTTCTGACCCACTTACTCTACAATCACGTCCCTCTTGCTCACTAGGTACGTAGGAACTGAAGAAACAAGACAATCAAAAGGAAAGGTTAAAAAGATTCACCAAAACGTGGTAGCCTAACCTTGCAGAGATGTCGGACACTTACGGCTTGAGACATCAGCCGCTTACGACTCGAGACATCAGCTACATTAGGACATATCAACTCAGCATAAGAAATGGGCAATCGAGCTCGAGCCTAATAGACCCGAGATCGTGCTTCCCCAATCAAACTTGAATATTCACCTGCCAAAAGGGAGAGGAAAAGACCAAATTAGAACCCAAGAAGCATGGGATGGATAACTCGGTAGAAGAAAACTCACCAAGGCGGGGAAACTCACCAAGATGAGCACACTGCCCGCAGATTGTGGAAACCCGAATTGATGAGATCGTCTACGGTGTGAATTCCCAACTTGTTCCAGATATGAAAAAATACCTCTTCCTCTAACCCTCTGGCTTAGGAGGAAGATCGAAAATGGGGGGTTTTTCCTCCTCTTCTCTCAACAAAATAGTAGAACCCAGATACCCATATAGGACAGAAAATGTTAAAAAATTTTGATAGGGTGGCATGAGCTTGCATCAATAAATGCTCTCATAGCATCGGGAATGCCAACAAGATTGCCCACCTTGTCAATAATAGCATGCAGGACAAAAGCTGAAAAAAAATAAAAAATTTCTCTTACAAAAGGAGGGAAAGGAAATCTAAGGCCCAGTTGAAAGGAAGCCTTGAAAAAATAAACCCAACTACCCAGAATTAAGTGGTAAGGGTGACGCTCTGCAGCATGGACAGTCACCCTAATTGGGAAGTCATAGCGGCTAGAAAGCACTCGAGCCTCCTCTATATCGATCTCGCTAGCCTCGACATCAAGGAAAACCTCCCGTTGGGTATCATAATGGGAAGCAGACATTTGCACCATGGCAAAAGTTAGGGAAAGCTGAAGGAAGAGAATCATGGGATGAAAGTAGAAAATTGCGAATGAAGAAGAAACACTCAAGCACAAGAGCCAAAAGCCTGTAGACAGGGCAAACTATTTAAGGGGATTCCAGGAGACATACGTCACTTCAGAAGGATGCAATTAATGCATGTCCATCACATTGAATACGCTAGCCACGTGTTGAAAATGGGGAAGTGGGCACTGCTTTTGAGGGGACACCCACGCTAATACCAATACATGTGCTCAACTGAATAAAACCGTAAAACTTGGGATACACAAAAGGATGGGGAAAAGTCCAAAACTAACCCTAGCAAGCCATGGAAGCACGAGCAAGACTACTCAACTCGAAACTCACGCAGGGCCACTCAACTTCAAGCAGAGTCACATAACACAGTTGGCAGCTCGAGATACCATTACTACGACAGATGAGGTTGAATGCAACTCCAAAGAGCTAAGTCACCCACTGTAATCCTCAAAAGTTAGCCGCAAAAATGTAAAACAAAAAAAAAGAGGTAGGAAAAAGGGTAATAAGCAAGGAAGAACGCAAAACTCTTAAAGAAAAAGGCATACATAAAAAAGTTTTTAAAGTCAAAAATTGAGTCTTAGTTACATAGGTTTTGGAAAATTGGCAATAACAACAAAAACCAGTTCACCATGGTGAACGCCTAAACTAAGGCTAAAGATCAAGTAGCAAGCCTCTCGCCTCCCATCAACAAGCTCAGCAGTGGCTTCTTTGGCAACATCTTTGGATTTTAATGCCTTAATCTCTGGCATAAAGGAGTCCAGCTCAAGGTTAGGATATGCCCTCTCCAATTGGTCCTGAAAGTTCATAAAGCCCTTCACAAAGGCATAATCGTTCACCTTAAGGAGCTCAACGATCTTCTTGTTCATGGACTTCAGCTGGATCTCCTTTGCCTTTAACTTTTCATCTTTAGCTTTCAGCATGACGACTCTCCTCTTTACAGAATCCTGCTAGCGAGTGTCCAAATTGCCATAGGCCCTCTTCAACTTAGCCACCTCAACAACTAGGACAACAATCTTCCTCTCAGCTAAACCCTTCCCCTCACTGGCAGCGTTAGTAGCATCTAATGCACTTCGCACTCTTTTGCAACTAGATCAGCCTTGAACTGCTGCTCGACAAGCTTAAGCTTCTCCAATTCTGAGCGCAAGGGAGCCTAGTCGAGAGATTGGCCAGCCAGTTGGGACAAAATGCACCCATGATGAAACTCCATCATCTTGATGCACGCCAAAGACTAACATCAGGGGAAATAATTAACATAAATGAGAGACGAAGGAATCTAGAGGTAATATTTAAAAAGGGCAATAAAATAGCGTGGTACCTCGGTCAGACTCTAACTGGCATACCTATTTTTCTTGTTTAAGCTAACCCTCATAGTTTCCTCGGGGTTTGAAGTTGTGACCAACTTGGCTGGGGTGTCCATAGCAACGGTGGGATCGCACAAGAACCCACTACCTTGCGCAGCTATCTAAGGAAGATCTCGCTCGCTCTTTTTTCCCTCTGATAAGGTTATTAGAGGAAGAGCGGGGTCAGTCTCTGGAAGTTTGGCCCTTTTGGTCTGGGATTCACCCTAGGATGGCAACTTGGCAGGTTCGTCTCCCTCTACTCTACAATCACCCCCGATGTGTAGCTTGGGAGATAAGGAAGACGGAAAGTTACTTTCGTAAGAGATCAGACTGCTCCATGGTGGCATCAGTCGAGTTGATTCCTTTTGGAAAGGGAGCTCAGAGGCCTTCACCAGCCTCCTCATTCTCTTCCTCTTTCTCTCATCTGTAAAGGCCGCAATGATAAAGTCAAGATCCATCCATTCAGAAGACTCTACTGGTAATGATTCAGCAACCTGTGTGGATAATGCCTCTATTAGAGGACCGATCTGGTATTTTACAAGATTCTCCTCGGTTACCGAAGCCAAAAAAGACTTAAGACCAAAGGCTTCTGCTAGAGCCACCCTACTAGCCTCCATAGCGTCAAAAGAAGGACAGAAACCTGAAAAAAAAAAAAACCAAAAGTCAGAATTAAAACCTGAGAAAATCCATAATAAATAGGCAAACATTCAGTTATTGCCCTTACGTGTGCTCCTCAAGACTCCCCAAGACCGAGGAATGCAGGGAAGGTCGCTAGGCGCTCCCGATAACTCCGAGGAGTCACCCCGGACGAAAAAGAATTTTGGCCTCCACCTTTTGTTGGAAGAAGGAAACCCAGTTATCAAAATCTTTGCCTTCACCTTTTTGGTGAAATAGAAAAACCCTAACACTAGAGAAGACTTGAGCTAAAAAAGGTGGATAAATTCACAAATAATGGGAAGAGAGGTATTCCCACTCTTAAACCAATGAAAGAGAAAATTGACCAGTAAGCCCTAGTCGTTTAGAGAAACCCGAGCTAGACACACATTATAGAAGGTAAGGATGTCTCGAATTAACGGATGAACAGGGACTCTAAGACCAGCGCAGAATGTAGAAACGAAGAAACAGGTCACCCCAAGGACAGTGGAGTTACATCTCTCATCCTGCCCAGGAGAATGAAGTAGAATAGAATCCATAAAAAAGAACTCTTCCCTCAAAGCCTCTAGGTCATCTTCGTCGAGATGGCTCGAAGTCAACTTGGCACAACAAGTGAGGTCAGACAGGTCTCGTCAGACTTTTTTCTTTTTGGGGGCAGAAGATGAAGCACCCTTGAACCTTTTCTTCCTAGTATGACTTGAGGAGACGGGGGAAACACCAAAGGAGGCTCAACGGAATGACCTGAAGTTGAAACCTTAGGGATCGGTCCTAGATCCCCCAAAGCCGACACCCTAGGACATAATTCAAACTTTTTCGTTAAAGCTAAGGAGAATTGGCCGCCCCCGAGTAGTGTGCTATCGTTATCAGGAATTTCCTCCCCACTAAGGGGATAGGAGAGCCCCTCCTCAATATGATCACTAGAGGAAGAAGCTGAAACCTCATCAACACCCTTATCGCTCCCCTCCCCGAATGCGAAATCAGAAGGGGTCTCAAGAACCACTCTCCCCATTAGGGGCTCAAACTCTAAATCGAAATACAAGGGGGTAGATGTGAAGTGAAATTCGTCAAAAATAGGGGGACTAAACACCAGGATCTGAGCAAGGATAACCTCATTAAAAAAGAATAATCCATGAATCGTGAAAGAAAAGCAAAACTGTCGGAGTGATTTTGAAAATAGCTAAACCTCCAGATAATGAAACGAAATCCATAGCCCCATCAGGGAGGGTTAAAGAGATCTAGAATGAAGGGAAATAAGGCAGGAATGTACCTAACAAGGAGCTAAGGTTGATTCACAGAAGGATAAAAGGCCTAGATCTCGTAAAACCACCAGAAATTTGAAGCGGCCGCCTTAGAGTCCAAAAGAAGAGAAAAACAGTGTGAAAAGATTGGAATTCAAAATACCAGAAAAAAAGTGAGGTGATTCCCTTTTGTTGTATGCCTAGCATTTATTACCACGACGAGACATGTGAAGGAAATGTGCAGAAGAAACTGTACAGGAGGAGCCCTCCCTAAGCGACTCATGTCCTTTCCTATCACGTCTCTCCCATTAGAGTAAATATGGGAAAACTGAATACGCCACTAAGGTTGTTCTAGTAATGATGGGAAACTGTCACCTATGGAGGTAATCATTACGATCGAAAAGAGGTTCTAACCCCAGGACAGGGTTGAAAGGTCATCCTTCTAACCTGGGGCGAAAGACAACTAATGATGATGTAATTAAGTCTGGGCCCCCTTTTTTTAGCCCAAAGCCTCCAACGGACTCATTAAAGATAATCCAAGCGGGCCTTTCTAGATGTCATCTTCCTTATCCAAGTTGTACCACAGCCCAGATCCATGAAAAATTGAGGATCATCCAGCCCAGA